ATATTTACAGTCAGTAGCTCTTAAATCCTTAAACCAGAGTTGCATCAAACCACATTTGATTGTCCACTTGGTTGCTTTGTGAACTGTAATATATTCTTCTAACCTTTTTCCCTTTGAGTAGAGCAACTGCACCAGTCTCCTTGCTTGGTAATTCACCAGGTTTACAGAAAAACACTTCTGGCTCAAAAAATATGCTGCAGTGCAAAATAAACAAACAACAATCAGGTTACCAGTAAAGGTCCACACCCTATCACATGAGCTGTCAGTTGCCCTTGCATAAAGTTTGTATGAAGTTAAAATTATAATATTCCTCTGGGTTATTAAAGAAGTCATTAAAGCAATAATGTCAATAAGCTGTGCCACCAATTGAATCCTCAGTCATTTAGGACAATTTAGTTATCATAATGATTACAATCAAAAGACAATCTTACCCTCTTTCCTTTCCGTTCCACTGTTTGAACTTCAGGTCAGACACCAGTTCTTCATCATCACAGTACCACAGCTCTTTAGATAGAGGCGGCCGCATGTATGGAGGATACTCTTCATCTCCTATGATCAGCACCTCAAATAGTACAAAGTAACTTAACTGTTTAACTCTGTTAATTAACAACGCACCTGCAAATATTAAAAGACATAAAGATCGTGCATCATATGTAAATTTGAGATTCTTAAACTCTTAATAAACATGTAGTTGCCAGTGGTTTCTAGAATGAAGGTTACAGACATAATACATTAACAGCGGAACAACTAATTACAATGATGAAATAACATGGGAAACACGGACAACACAGGATAAAATATGAAACAAGCGAAGATAGGAGACATTACCTGACGATTTGGGAATACGGCCTAAAACACTAACATTACTCGACCTTTAACTAAAGAAGTCCTTGCAATTTTTATAACGCGTGTGAAAGTGGAGCTATTTATACTATTATATGCTGGGAACAGGGGCGAGGCAGGGGATTGGTTTCTACAAACTCCTGAGATTGACAAACATTCTATCTCTCACAAAGGCCATGAGAATAATGGAAATAAGGCAGCTCTTGACTCTTGATTGTCAAACAAATTCTCCTGGTAAATTCCCTACCAAATATACAGTGAACAGTCTGGAGAAAATGCATACTGGTGTCAGGTTGTATAATCATTGTATAACCCGCAAAAATTAAACTGAAACCCAGTAGATTAATTAAAGTATGTTAAAATGTTGGATAAAATGGCAAACAATGGCATTATTACATGAAATGAAGAATTTTCTTAGTCTGGAAAAAATTGATATGGCAGCAAAACATCTTTAGTACAAGTCAGGCAAATACCTTTGCAGACTTGTCAGCTTTTCTGATGGCTCTGTAGGCTGCAAAGGAAGCTGTGCCAGCTCCCACCAATACATAAGTTGCATGCTCTGGAATTTCTGGCAATGGGGGTGGTGCTTCTACAAAAATGCAGTGCTCGAAATTAAAAAAAATCCAGGTTGTCCCTATTTCAAAAGCCGGGCAACCAAAGCTGTGAATTTGGTTGCCCTGATGAATCCTTGGTTGCCCGGTAGAAAATCACAGGGCGGTCAAGCTTGAACTAATCCCATAGTTCTTAGTGTGTGGCAATGGTTTTTGCGGAAGTCTGAGTTTAAGTTGTGGCATATTCAAAATGGTGTCTTTGATCTTGATCGCCTCCAGACAAGAAACTTTGTTTGTCTCTTAGATTTTTGTACCTGGCAATGATTTATAAAATTTACAGATATCCAAAACACAGGAAAATGCTTAGCTGAGGGAAATTATTATTAAATTCACACTACCCGACATTGACAAAACAAAACCATCATGTAGGTCAGGTGCTGTTTATGGTTAATTTATTTTCTATTTTTGGCTGGGTTGTCCGTTGTTTTTTCCCCGGACAACCAGGCTCTTAATTTTACTAAAAATTGGTTGCCCGGTAAACTTTTGGTCATCCTTAACCTTACAGAGCTGCTATCATAGTTTCTTCATTCCAGCCCCACTAAAAAGAGTTTCAAATAACTATGTTCATGTTAGGTCATGTTTTTTAAGGTCAAAATCAACTGTAAGCATCAATTGCTGTTACTTTTAGGACAAATTTCAGTAATTCACCATTATTTCTTTATGATCAAAAAATTAATCTTCTAGGAGCCTGTTAATTGATATTCTGCTAAAACCAGTTCTGTCAAAGGTGGTAGATTTCCTGGTCAGAGAAACTCGAAAGGCATTATACAATTCAAGAAGGTATTCAGATTCAACCAAAAGTAATTTAAAACTTCTGGTAGCGGTAGGTGTCCAATTGAAATTGTGAAAGGAATTGTGAAACTTAACTGAATTTTCTTGGAAGAAAGAGATAATAAACCTTTCCTGAGGTATGATTTCTCAAAGAGAGGAAAGGGTAGAGCATCTAACAATGGGAGAGAGTTGATGTACACCCAAGGGACCTCCCCTACAAACTACATCCTTGCTTGTTGGAGGGGAGGGGGATGGTAAGGCACCTGACCACTGACAGTAATCCTATACCTTGTTGTAGGGTAATGTCCTCACCTGACTCTGCTTTTCGTTCTTCAGCAGCTGGGCTCTCTTCTTTGGTTGAATCTGCAGCGACAACTGTATCTTCAACTGCCACCTCTGCCACAGTCTTTGCCTCGTCAGCAGGTAGCTGTCAGAAGAAAACGATTCAGACATTTGTTCCTTTAATTAATAGCTCATCAATTGAAACTTTTAAACCTATGTGATCATTACTTTAAATTTTTAAAACTTTTTGGTTCATGTTTTCTAACTTGCTTTTTAAGCAAGCTTTTTAAATTTTGTTTCCATGTTGCAAAAAAGCAACAACAACAAAAACTAAACAATAAAATAAAAAAAAAAACATAAAAAAAAAAAACATAACTACATACATTTAACATTTCGAAACTATCACTTCTAATAAATAACTTCAAAGAAACCAAAGACATCACAAAAAAAAAAACAAAAGAAAAGCATAAAATATCACTGTTGCTGAGTACTGTTTAAAGTGGGAAATATTACTGAAACATCAATAGGACATGAGAGAAATTAAAACTACATTTATGCAAGAAAATTAAGGTTAAATTGATTTGGAAGACCTTGGAATTGTTTATTTCAAGGTATGGTAACTTTTCTCACTGATCAAATATCATCTCAATCTAGAAATCATATCATTAACGTGATAATCATCTCTCTGTGTATACATGTTTGATTACATGACTCACCTTTGCTGCATCCTCAGAAACCGCAGGTTTTGATGAGGGAGATTCATAAGGGTTAAAAAAGCCAGCGTATACAATCTAAAATAAAAAAGAAGTGAAAATACATGAGGTCCATTAAATGTACTGACACTGAAATTTAATATAGATAATTACTTTTTCCTTCATATGCAATTATCATTTAGGTAATTTAAATGGAAGTCTCCTTGTAATGCCTTTGAACAACTTTCAAGGTCAAGGTGGATCATTGTTTATTTGGAATACTATAGAACAAACAGTCTGATAACCATATGAAAGAACAACTCTTTCAGATTTTTTTTTTTATTGTGCAGTACTCATCTAAAAAAGGCTGAAAGATCATAAAAACCTCTTCCTTCTTAAAAAACACAGTGGAATAACCCCACACATGTACAAAGGGTGTATTTACCGCATCCCGGTTAGGTCAATTGGTTGAGCGCTGGACTGTTGTGCGGGAGGTCCAGGGTTCATTCCCCGGCTGGAACAACACTCAGGGTCTTAAAATAACTGAGGAGAATGTGCTACCTTTCTATAACATCAAGAAATGGACAAACATTCTAGTCTTCTTGGATAAAGATGAATAAACCATAGGTCCCATCTCTTGCATCTATTAATTAGTTAATTTGGTTAAGCAGGGGACATTAAAGAACCCACTCACGAGATTACTGTGATGTGGTCTGACCTGTTTACTGGGAATTGGAGGGAGGGGGCATCTGAAAGATTCGCCTTTATTTGATTGTAAACTGCTTAGCAGTCTGGTAAAGTCCCCCATGTGCACAGTGTTGTAAAGTGCCATGAGCTCAGGATATGAGCGCTATATAAATAAAAGTTATTATTATTATTATTATTATTATTATTANATGTGAGCCGAAAGTCAGTTACTTTGGATTGTTTTTTACGCTGTTAATATTTTGTATTGTAGAGGATTTTAAGGAAATTATTGCTAAATAAAGATCATATCATTATTATTATTATTATTGTTATTATTATCCAAGTGACCAGCTGCTAAATTTTTCTTGACTCAAAAGAAAGGATTTATCTTGACCATGTCATCACCATGATCTCACAATCAATTCTCCTCACTGCCTCCTTTACATTTCTTATAGCACTGGTTAAAGAATTTGGTGTTACATAAAGGAATATCCTCCTCTTGATATTTCTTATTTTCTCATTACCATTCCTGTCTTTTTATGTACTGATATTGCATGGAGAAATGATATATTGATCCTGCAATTGTTAAGGTTGAAAAAAAAAGTAATCTCCTTCAGGAAAAGTTACCTTACCAACATAAAACAATTTTGCATTGGTTGGTTGACGTAATTTCACCTGATAATGTTCTTTTTTGCATTTATTACTGAGGTGTGAAGAATCTAGACTCTTCTAGATCTGTAGGATTTTGATTTTGGATGTTTTGAGAAATTGTTCATGGTATATTGGAAAGCAATATTGAAGTTGGAAGCTTTTTTCTCAGTGACAGGATGTCTGTTGTTTGAATAACTGCCTAGCATTCTCCACCAGCCTCCCCTCCCACCATGTTGACGTGGAAAATGTACTCTCCAACTTTCATGGTATAAATTTAAAAATACATGCAAATCTAAAAACGCCACAACCACTTTTACATCTCTCAACTAAACAAACCTTTCGAAAATGAAAGCGTGCAAGATTTCACTTCGAACCCAATATTGTGTACACATGTACATAAACAACCTGACCTTCCCCTCCCTAACAATGGTCTATCGTAGTATTTGCCGACTCCCACGTGACGACAGGAGATCATCAAAGCAAAAATAAACTGTAGACAAACATGCGAGAAACAATTTCTAACTAGAAACTTTAAAATAATACTCACGTATAGTAGGGAACCCCCAAGCAACCCAATTCCAACAATCAACATCCCATTATCACCCATCAATCCTCCGGCTGAGCTCTGACTATTGCTTGATGAAAGCCGAGTGAATACTCGACTGATTGCAACATTAGGCCTTTTCTCGAAAGAACTGTACAGTCGACACACAGCCCGGCCTGGAGAACTCAATGCCGGTCTAATCCGACTTAAGCAAGGCCGGAAAAATTTGCCACAAGTCACTAGAGACATTCTACGGTCGTAGCATGTGTAAAGGACATTCCCCTATTGAGCATGCGTTTTTGAAATGAGACCGCTGTTCACTGTTAAAGGGGTCTACACTTTTTTTCTTCGGCCTTTTTTCACACAAAACTATGGTTCTGTTCTTTGACCCTGTTGATTTCCACAATAGGTGGCCGAATTGACGATAAAAAACTCTGTGAAGCTACCTGAAAAAAGGAGTTGTAAATATTTCTGACTGTTGGACACGGAGCGATTGGAATATTGCTGGACTTAAGGACACAGGGTGTCTTAGTGGGCGTTACAGATGTCACGTTCGGAGGTCATGCGTGATACGCATGCTGTATGACATTATTACATAACGGCTCGCACTCTGTTTTTGTTTTGCCCTTCGACTCGTATCTTTTGACAACAGATGTTGGAAAACTTACGTTTGTGAAACTATATGAGCGGTAAATCAAAGGGAGAACTCTGGAGACCACCCCCCCCCCTCCCTCACCCTGCATGATTGTAGGATAAAACCAAGGCCCATGGTTGCCAGATACAGAGATAATTTGGGGAGCAAATAATTATTATTTCCCCCTCCCCTCTTCCCCCTGCTACCCTGTCAAAAAGAAATACTTGTTACTTTAAGGTCTGGATCTGCCACTTTTAAGATTAAGAGTCTTAAGAGTTTTTTTTATAAGGATTTGTTTGGGGTTTCTCATTTGTAAAGCCCCTGTTCAGTTTACTTGTCTATACCACTTAAAAATGGGATAAATTGTGTTAGAATACGTGCTCCAATATCATGACCAATGTAACTGCACGCTTACCACAATGTTTATCGCAGTTAATCGTCGCTTACTTGCACATTAGTAGAAAACCGCTTTAGGAAATGCTGCAAAATTGTATAGGTGATACTATGCCAAGTATGTTAACTTAAATCAGAGCCGCTTATGAATGATTGTATAGAAGTCAGTGAAATACACAATAAAAATCAGTTGTTACTCCTATGTACTAGTTACAATATGGCTACATCAGTAAACCTAACAAATTGAATAAATAATTAACAATGATGGCCTCTTGCAAAATAATTTTATATCAGTGATTCCTCATCAAAATCAACCCCAGAAAAGTGATGTTGATGCTGAAGAAAGAAAAAAAAACACCTCAAAATTATTTTTGTGAAGTATAACTCTCCCAACCCAAACATATCCAGATTCAGAAAAGGAAGAAATATTTCATCATTATCCACAATTAGATAAGTATTAAGTATATGAAACTTCCCTTGACTCTAACATAACTTAACTGTCAGGATTTTCATTTCAAAAGAGTGTGTAATCTGTCATTTTAAAAACCTAGATTTAGTAAACCAACAAGTTCAGCAATTTTGGGAAAGACTGAAACAAAGATTTCATAACCATTCAAATTTATTGCACAACATTTAAGTTAGATTGAAGTTAAGAAGAAAATTAAAATTTTCTCACAAACATTATTTGTAAATTGATTCACTGTAAACTCAAACCTTACACTAAAAATGATATAAAACAATTGCCAACAGCAAGGTCACTGAATGTTAACCTCTAACTTTCCACCAAAAAAATCTTATTTGGGAAACCTCTGTGAATTTAAACCCAAACTAAAAAATTTTTATCATAATGCTTTGGTAAATAACATCCTTATTATCTACTTACTCAAACTCATTGACTGTTAATGCTAAGTAACAATTTTTTTTATCAGTACATTAGTAAGAGATATGATAAATGAAGTAAAGCTGACATCAATTGATGTTGGTACAGTGCAACAGCAGCAACATCCATGGCTCTTCTTAATTTGTGTATGTCTTTCTTACTCATTTTCCTTCAGCTAAAAAGAAAAATTCCAAATTACCAATGATTATACAAAATATATATTTATAATAAACAATATTTTTAAATACAATGACAAATGTACTTACACTAGACTCACATTTAATTTAGCTATTTTTGTATAGTTCACAACTGAGAAAATATCTCTTCCATACACTATTTTTGAAACAAATTGGTAAAAGGAATCTTTGAAATAAATATTGTTTATCAAAATAACCACAGTTCGTGGAAGACAAAAGCTCCAGTGGCTTGTAGGTCTACACAATATCAGTATTGGCCCAACAAACCTTTCAAAAGCTATAAATATATTTTTATAAGTTTGGCAAAAACACAGAAAATATCAATACATAAATATTACCTTAGCTTGTTCATCTGCAGTCAAAACTGAACTGAATGCACCTTCCTTCCATGCCTATACAAGCATCAAGTAGAGATTATAACAGCTGCTTTAATTAATTTCGATTTTTCTCTTTTCTCTTTTCATTACGTCCCTCCCCTCCCTCCCCGATACCCCGTCCCCACCCTCGCACACTCCCCTTTCTCCACCCTTTCCCCTTCAAATTAAGACAAAATTAAACAAAGCAAAACAAAGGGAAAAGAAAAGATAGCCAGAGTCACCGCAAACATTGACCTGCCCTACAAAATTACACAATAGGGTTAGAGTGCCTATTATTTCAAAAGTAGGGATCACATCTCTTAAGTTTTCGACCAAGCGACGCCGTCTGCGCGAAACTGTCAAAACACTGTCAGATTATTTGCATATATTAAGCCTCGTAAACAAGGATTTGTGTTTTTCGTCACGCATAACAGAATGATCTTAATTTCATAATAGCAAGATATTTTTTCTAATCTTTAAGGAGGCTGTAAAGTAAGGTGAATGTCAAATACAAATTTTCAACGATCTGGCATGATGTCGATACCAATAACACCCAATTCAAAAATGCGTGCAGAAATTCATGTCCTGTTTTCATCACATAAACCTCGATTTGTAGATATTACACATTCCTGATTTGACTTTAAAAAAAAATCCTTCTCATTCTAACCCTTTTCCGTCGTTACAATTTATCTAGCAGGCAAGATTATTCTCTAAGTAAAAATTTGCATTTGGAACACAAACACAAGTCTACCTTCCCTTTCACTTTTAACCTTTGAATGCGCGTACAAAATTCTTCCTCCGAAATTAGTCTGAAAGTTGTTTTCTTTCTTACCCATACGGAAGCACTTGTAAAAAGGCCCAGTCCTAGGACGAACATGCCCATTTCTTCTTGTGTGGCTGGACGTTTTTCCTGTCTGATGTGCGAGCTTCGCTCACCAAGCCTCCTTCCAAGGAACTGTCGAGAGCCTCCAAAACAACAAGCGCGAGCAATCCTTGAAAATGCCTGGAAGGACATCGTATGGGTAAAAACTCCTGAAGAAGTGTATTAATAAGTGGTAAAAGGTGCGAAAACTGTTAGGAAATTAGGTGGAAGAACAATGCACCAAAGTGGATGGATCGCTATTAAATTCAAGCTGGATCTCGTTTGACTAATAAAGTAAACAAGGAACTGTCTGTGTCAGTTAGGCGGGGAGGTACGACGTCACGTTATATTCGGATATCACGCAAGGGCAAACGCAAAGTTCTCTCCGTTTGCTCTCCCGCTATGATAGAGCTAAAACTGCAAAAATAAGAATGATTCCAGCTCCTTTGGACACTTTTTTATGCCATTTTCATCAAAAAGAAACCTTGTCCTCGCTGAAGCGGAACTTTCCGTGACTTCTACGTTACTTAAGCATCAACTTCAGAAATGTCGCGCAAAAAGTTGTTTACAACATTTTTCTCAAAGGATATAAACGAACAATATTGCTTGAAATGTAACTTAAATTATGATAATGTTCACACTTGATTTATGATTCATCTGTAGAATAATTGTCTTCTAAAATTTCTTTTTAAGTCCTGTTGCCATTTCAATGAGATTTTCAACAATAAGAAACGTCAGTTACGTTCATTGTTTTTCTAATGCTTAAGTGTTAGGGGTAGGATGAAATTTAAGACCCTGGATGTCTATTTGATTACATAAAGAGGGCAAACAAACTAACAAAAAATTAAAAACACCTCCAAGTTTACAAAATTAAGTTTAATTATACTGTTTCCATAGCATTGTGTCTTCATAAATGTCCCCATCCCAGTTACTTACACCAAACATTAGCCTTACTTTTTTACCAGGAAAAAATTCTGCATGCCCAGTGGTGGATCTAGGGGAGAGGTCCAGGAGGCCCCAGGGCTCACTCTTATTTTGAGTGAGAAAAAATCACAGAAGGAAGAAAAGCCAGCAGATGTACACACACAAAAAACAATTCAAGGTCTAGATCCATCACTGATGCCATTGGAAAACTGGAAAATTCTTATCAGGGATTTGTTTCAACATTTTTGTCACAAAAGGGTGATTTCCATTCACTGCTCACTCAATGTTGATTTTAAAAATTGTTTCATTTTTAAGACTATACAGCAAAAATCTGTTAAGTCTTGAAATTCTTCTGGTGGCAAAACCATAATCTCTGCAGTGCTGTAAGAAAATTCCACCAGAATTGGTGTTATTTAAGGTATCCTGCAAAACAAAGTTGTCTATAGTTCCATGTTGGCTGCAGCTGTTATCTGTTAGGATGGCCTGGCACTACATTTATTTATCTTCTTTAGATTTCATATTCCTTGTCTAATTTCCATTTCTGATAACCCTAAAAGACAAGAATGATACAAATTTATTTCTTTCAAATTTGTCATTATTGTAGTTTACATGCAGTTTAAGAAACAGAGTAGAATGAAGTGTGAAGGATTGGACAAATGCATTTGTCAAACATGGATATATGTGATTGCTGTTCTGTTCCAACTAATGTAATTGTGTCAAGAATATTTTAATGAATATTTTGTTGTAACTTGAAACTTACAATCCCAACTAGACCACAAATGATAGTTGATATTCCAACCACAATCATGTTTGTGGAGTAGTTTCGTCCTTTGCCTTGAGTCCAGTAGTTTCTTCTTAAAATGGACAAAGCTGGGTGAGGTGCCACTGCTCTTTTGACAAGATGATACATTTCTTGTGCTTAACTCTTTCTTAGTAGTGAATATTATTTGACTCTGCTTTCTGGGCAGCAATACTGTTACTTGTCTAAAAAGGAAACAAATGATTCAATAATACAGATAAAATTATCTCAATTTATCATGTGGCCTATACAGTACCATGCATGTTTTTATTGAAAGACAATATAAAAATTTCAGTATAAAAAAAAGAGTGTCAACAGTCAAAGAGGTGGATGCAAGAAAATGCCATATGCTGCTTCATCTTTGGAGGGAAAATGGGCTTTTTATATGCACTAGCTAGTTGGCCTTATGTTAGTAAAATTTTAAATGTCAGTGTTCTACCTGTAATCTCTGTTTCAAGAACTGGAATTTACGATAAACCTGGAAAATAATTTTACTTAGCTGTCTCAGATAAGATCGAGTTCTTCAAAGTCATGCTTTCTTACATTTTACATTAAAACCAGAACTCCAACAATAAACATAACTATGGCGCTAATAAATCTAAGGGCGGAGATCGAAGGCATTTTTTCTCCAAGATTCTAAACTCACTTTTTATGGCGGTGCTTAATCGAGTAAATACGATAAATCTTCATTCTCGAGGAATGACAAGCAACGAATTGCATGAGAACAGGCTTGTTGCTCCACATGCAGTGCATAGGTATGCCTAAAACGTCTTGGTGAGAATTTCATGAACTGATTAAAATGAAACAACAGAACCGTTTCTCCTTCTAAAATTTATGCTTTGCGTCTCATGTACATAAAGCCGTTTAAAATATGGAAAACTATAAACTTGAAAAAACGTTTATATTGTAAAGCTGTACATTAGGATATCCGCGAGTAAGCATGAAAAACAGCTACACGTTTCTTGACTTTGGTTACAAACTGATGCTTTCGAAGTCACGTTATCTTCACTATTATAAAAATAAAATCTTAAAATGTATGAAGAGATATTGAAGGTCTCAGTTAAACGCACCTCTATAAACCATATTCCTCACAAGTCACCAACTCGTCCGCCGTAATACTTTGTACCCAGTCCATAACGGTTATTCACCACAGGAAAGTTATCGTGTACAGGGAGACCGGGTTCTAATGTTTTCAACTTATCTTTGAAACAAGAGGCACAGGAGCTAAGAGGTTCACAAAGATAACGACAAGTTTCAATTCTGAACTGTTCCGATATCGTCGTTTTAATCATCGATTTCATACAGATTCACTGATTACTAATGTAGAAAACATGAATTTAAATGTTCTGTGCTGCCGAATCAACAATTTGATATGCACAAAGTTATATTTCAACAGGAGGGACTGATCAGAAGCACAGGCTTACCATCTTAAATATCTGTGGTTTCGCGTTTCTATGGTAATGGGTTCCTGTGGGATTTACAAAGCCGTTATCAATGTAGTTCAAATATATTTCCTCTGGAATCTGTCCCTAGTCAGATACTTGATAGATAGAAACTTTATTAACGTGTCAAAGAAGCTTCTAGTTTTGGAGATATCCCATACTAATGTGGGGACACAAATAAAATGGATAAAAATTATTTACAAAGAATATTACCTACTTAAGAATAAAATTAAGTCATATCATGTATGAAAAAAGATATGAAATGAATTAAGAAGTACATAGAGCACAGCCCCTGCAGCCATCATCTAATAGGGAGCTGAGGTCACGCTTACGTCTGCGGTTTTTGAAACTAGCTAATGTTGTGGCTGATCTGTCGTGAGTTGTCAGTTTACTCCATAATTAGGTCCTAAATAGCGTAGTGAATGCTTGCCGTAAGTTATTGTATTGTATCTAGGAATAGGAAAGTCGGCCTGTCTTAAATTATAGGAAGCGTTGTGTTTCTGAAATATATTACAAATATTCAAAGGGCTAAGGTTGTGTTTAACTTTGTACATTAAAATGCATATATCCTGTAAGCGTCTGTTTAGTAGCGAAGCTAAATTAGCTTTCTGCAGCAAACGTTCAAAGGTGGCGTGTTTATCTTTGAATACGGCCCTTAGGCCTCTTTCTTGAACTCTCTCCAATCTGCGACTATCGCTAGATTTACAAAAATGCCATGTGAGATGGCAGTAGGTTAGGTATGGTAGAATGGCTGCCTTAATAAATTTTAATTTTGCATTTGTTGGAATCAAGTTGCGGAGTCTCATAAGCGCATCAATCCTTTGACTGGCTTTGTTACAGATAGTATTTATGTGATTATTGAAATTCAAATTTGAGTCAATTGTGACTCCGAGAAGTTGGAGAGTAGCGGTCGTATTGATTTTCTCTTTGTTTACTAAGATAGCGCATTCTTCGATGCTATTTTCAGAGTTATTGTTGCTACCAATAATTAAGGTTTGGTATTTTTCAAGGTTATCAACTAATAGACTAGATTCGTACCAGTTGGTTGCTTTTTCCATACTGTCTCTAAGTTTGGATGTAGTAGTGGGTAGGTCATGACCTGTATGGTAAAACTGATGGTCGTCCGCGTACATTGATATATCTCTAACATGATAAGATAGATCGTTTTGGAATATATTCCGCAACAGAGGACCCAATGCGGATCCCTGAGGACAGCCTCGACTGACTAATCTGTCAGAGCTGATATTACTTCCTAACTTTACACTATTTCTCCTATTCGATAAATAGCTTTTTAGAAGTTCAATGATATTACCCTGGAAGCCGTAAGCTTTGAGTTTGCTCAATAGCAGCGGTGGATGTAAGGAGTCAAAAGCTTTTGACATGTCAGTCGACATTACGCTTACGAAAAGATGTTCATCTCTGGCCTCTCTCCACCCCTCCACCAGGTTGATCAGCGTGGTTTCGCAGCTGTATTTTTTGCGGTAGGCTGACAAGTTTACACACATGTGTTTGTCGAGGTCGGTCGTAATTTGCTTGCCAAAGAGCTGCTCAAAGACCTTACCAACACATGGTAAGACTGTGATAGGTCTGTAGTTTTACTTACTGGATCTGTCGCTCTTTTTAAATAAATGCGACTTGTTGCATTTCTTCACTGGAGAGGGCGAGCCGAATTAACCGCCGAGCGTTGAAAGCCCCAAACGAGCGATTTTGAGGCTTTCAGGCAGAAAAAAACACTTCCAAATAAGTAATGAACTAATAATCTTTATTCAGAAGTGATTTTTTTTTGAAGACTGACAACTAGGGACAGATTTTAGAGGCAATATCTTTGAACTACATTGTAAATGCCACAGTAACCATTACCATAGAAACCCGAAACCACAGATATTTAAGATGGTAAGCTTAGTTGTGATCAGAAGTAAGCCATCCCTCAAGAGCTTATACAAAGCTCCATTTTATTTACTTTTTCTGTCCCTACTAACAATTCCTCAACCTCCGATAATCACTGGTGGTGCGAAAAGTCAACTGAGTCCACGGCGCCCAGCGAAGTTTGAAAATAAATTTAAGAAACTCGTCATGTGTGGAATGGATAGATAGATAGATAGATAGATAGATAGATAGATAGATAGTTTTATTTGAAAAACATTGCAACCAAAGGTTGAATTACACATTCATTGACAATATTAAGAAATATATAAGAAATAGTGACATACTTTTAAAATATTAAAAACTAGGTAACATACAATAAGGTCAGCTTATACAAAGCGTGCGTGAATGATGAAAGATAAAACTATGACGTCACCTGTTCGTACGGACCACAGGTAAATTGAAAGCGCGCTTTTTCCTTCAGTCCACTCTAGATACATTCCTGGGCGGCAGGAGCTCATGCAGCTTGTGACCTGGTACAAGAACGTTAGCTTGTCTTGGGTCATCCTCTCTCGCCTTTAATTACGCTTTCTTCCCTGAGCTTTCTTAATGTGTGAATGAAATTAGAAGACAAGCTAAGACCTGCAAGCGTGACATTAAGTTCAAATTACGTGACATATTCCGAAACTTGATTATTATTGGATAGTCAAGGTCACGCGATTCAGAATAAACTGGACATTTGCTATAATACTGAAAAGTTAAAATTTCTTCAAAGTTGACATCTTTTGGAGGATCCATTCCTTGTCCCCAGTCTATGTCCGAGCACTGGGGCGAGTTTAAAAGAAACATCTGTTTGTCTGACTCATCAAACCACATGCAGCTGATATTTTTAGTTTTGATTTCTTGAACTAAGAAAAAATCGCCCATTTTCCACGCTTTTCCGATGCAAGAATAAACGGTGTCAGACGTCTGGCAACCTGGATCGTACTTCACTTCAAATGAAAGCGTATTGTTGCACGCAAAATCGACACGTGACAGTGGTCCCTTGCATTCAACCTGATTACCACTGTTAACTGACTTGAAATGGTAAACTCCTTTCCCCCGGGACGGAAGAAAGCAGCTGGTTTTTCTCAGAGGTGCATGGCGTCTTATTATGATTTTGTCAATATTGCGACCCCAGACAGGATAAGGATCTTTCATGTATGGAAGCCAGCTTGAGCAAAACAGTCGCAGGATATGATTATAGTAATAATACACTAAAGAATCATTGTTATGACCATTCGGGATTATCAACTGACTTTGGGAAAGTCTGTATACTAACATATCACTTCCAACGATGTCTGTGATACCTAGGCGACTTAATCTGGGATAACAGCCATTGGTAAAGTTTGACACTAGTATATAATCATCGATAAAGAATTTTGACCGTCCCGATCCAGGCCATTTCCCGGTAACTAATGAACTGCATTCGTGGGGAGCCTGATGCTGAAAAACATACCTCTGTTTACAATGGAAGTTTCCATATGGGGGAATATTAATTGATGTTTCGTTTATGAAGACGTTACGTAAACCATTATGAACGGATATTTCTTTCCAGATTCCACGAATTTTTTCTGGGAAGTTACACTCCACTTTAGTGATTTGAGAAAGAGGTCTGTCTGTTTCTCCAACGTTCACTCCTCGTCTCATGTGAAATGTTAATGATCTTACTCCGTCTGACGCATTTCTCGTGCAAATCGGCGCATTGTAAAGATGCAATACAACGTTGTCTCTGTCTCTGTTTGTAAGTTTTCGAAATCTAATACAGAAGAAGTCTGATGCGAGAAATGAAAATGCGCTCCTCGCTGTATAAGTTCGTCTCTTGGCAATAAAGTATGTAAAATTTCCATCTCTCCATGGTGCACTGAAGCAAGACAAAGCCAGATCGATGGTGAAAGGGTTATTCAGATGACGCTCTCTCATTAAACAATGAGTGTTCCTTGTTAAGTGGATCCGTAAGCCTTCCTTACCCACACAGTCAGATTCAAACGTTCCCATAATCGCAGCGTCTTTGTTAGGGAGGCATTGTTTCCCTATTAGCTCATTATCGACCTCAGTAATTTGAAATCCTCCCCTTAGCACAGCCGGACAATCCGGTATCTCCTCTAAAACACTTGAAAGCAAAGGACTTTCGTTCGCCAGTAGATCACTTGCATTACAGGCCAGGTGCGTTTGATTGGGTCTCCAGGGCGACTGTTCGTATGTGACCACACTTCGCCCTCTTTTCCGGAATTTCATCCAAGAATAATACTTTACGTTCGAGCGAGTTTCATTCATCGAGTCATTACGGAGGATAATGAAAACATGAGGAGCAAGCTTTCTCCAACAGTAAAACACCGATTTAGTTCTTGAAGAATACGAATCTCCCAATATCTCAATTTTCCCTTCGTTGAAGACCCATTTGTACTCTTCTTTCATTCTGTTGTTTCTGAATTCATTGAAAGGTTTATTTCTTTCGTAAGGAAATCTCTTGCCTCGTGACCAATGGCGCCATTCTCTGTTTGACAATTTTGGACCCGAGTCTTGCAAAAATCCCGGAAAAGAACATTGTGGTTCCTCTTCAGGGAAGCCTTGAACACCGAAACAGAGATTTAAATGCGACAAGCTTAAAACAACTCCCAGACAGAGGAGCAGACAATTTTGGTGAAGGGAAGCCATTTAAAGACTCATCGGGAAAGAAGCCAAGCAGATCACAATGCCATTTATGTAAATGGAATACATGATCGTAACCCCTGATCGATAACCATCTGTAGCCGACCAACCACTGAGATAGCGCGTGCGATTCATCAGTAAGCCACTCGAAGTGATTTAGGGCGTGATTAATCTAAACATGGCAATTTGATTTCCAAAGCGGGTGGGCGAGGGGGCCTTGTCGAATGTGTATGTAGCTATGTTGAACGAGGGAAGGGGACGGAAAGATTAGGTTGTAGTATGCGGTGTGATAACTTGCGTGTGTTTGCAGCCTCACCAAAGTCAGTATTCAATATGGCTGCCACCCATTTCTTGAGATTCATGACGAATGCAGTTGTTTTTAATAGAAAGTAAAACTATATAATTTTTATTTACCCCTCCCCTCCCAGTCCCCACCTCGCTTCATCGCTTTGCTCTTTATTCTTTATTCCGCTGAACAACAAAGCCACCCAAAGTAGTCCTCAGACTCCCTACTGTGGTCACCCGCTGGACGGTTTTTAAAAATTAATTTTGATGCATCCTGTTCCAAACAAAATGTCTTGAAAAGTAATTACATTTTCACAAAAAAGCCATAATTCTACTAAATTTCCGGTTGAAAGCCTTTCACAGCTAACCAAACATGAAATGTAAACTATATTTGCTTTCTCACTTCAATTCCGGATCGAAAGTAAACGAGCATTTTGCATTGCATCCTTCAGCTTTTTAATAAAAAACTAAATGACAAACACACAAGTTCAGCAACTAACACGTCTTATAGTTATCCCATTCACATCATCGTTCAAACATGTTTCATATTTCTGTCCGCTTTGCTGCATGTCATGGTAGCAAATACGATTCCTTTTTGAGTCTACGAACGCTTATTAGGGCTTTTTACTAGAAGTTCATTCTACAGTAATTGGATATCGGAGGAAAAATTTGGGACTTGCGCTAGCATCTGCTTTAGACAGAGTGTTCCCTTGTTATGACTCTGCTTGATAAGTTTTAAATAAGTTACGTCTTTTGGAGAATCGTCTAGTGCATGTCACGTCTTACGATTTGTATCTGCTTGTCGATCTTTAGTACTGTATTTTAACGGTATCTTTCAAAAACAAACAACGTTTTATCTCAGATAAGACTTCTATCAAGTTTAATTTTTCCTCCAATTGTGTGCTCTTAATTAAACTGACTGAACTCTTCACATGCATCTCGGAATTACACTAACTGCCTGATAAACGTAATCAGCGTTTAGCACATCAACCTGGGGTGCTTCTCGTCTTCCTTTAACATTCTCTCTCCCAATTGGCTACAAAGATTGTAAAAACTCTTCACGATGTCAAAACTCCGTCCGGAACAACGCTTCTTGACCACCGCCTCCTTGTAACAATTGATAAACTCTTGCACATCGTGGCATATGTTCGTGTCGGTTTCCACCTTTTTGAGGAAGCGCTTCACACAAGTTATGTGGACAGCCTTCGCACATGAAAAACAGGGTTTAAAACCTGCGAAAAAATAAGTTAATTCAAAGTTTTTTGATCGTCCCTTTTTAATGACTGCCCGTTTTTCTAGCCAATCACAGGCTCTCAGTCACTGGAAATGAGTGAAAAAGTTGGCGCGCGAAAAACAGTGGGGGTCGGGTGAAGAAAATAAGGAAACGCTTCAGTTTATCAAAATCACTAGTGCTAAAGCTCATGTACAACACTTACCGATGTAGTATGCCCTGTTCCACGCTGTCAAATAAACGGAAGGCGGGAATGAGTTACGTTACAGTTAAAAAATCTCGATTTAGAACTTTACCAAGTAAGAGGAGAATTAATCAGTAAAGAAGTAGTTACTAAGATAATGTGTTGACGTAAATGATAGCCATGGCAATGAATTGGGGAAAAACATGGACAAGAAAATAAAATGATTATGATGAGAGGCTAGCACCTAAGGCTACATTTGCTAGGTGTTATTGCGGCACGATGTTATATAGAGGGTCAACAGAACACCTGTTATGTAAAAAGAAAAGTGGAACGGTACTCCTTGTTGAAAAAAGACCTTGCCTCCCTGTTAAAATATCCTTTAATGGAGTTTTAAGAGAGCAACATTTTCTCTTACCAGTGACTGCTCGTTCAAGGTCATTGTAATGGTGATTAGGGCACACGCGACACTTTTTGTCCATCATACCATGTTCCAGGACAACATAACTGTAATTCTGAAGCCACGAACCACCGACACAGCTTCCGAGAGAACCATCCAAACAATTCATAAACGCCTAGTGAAAAAGTTTATACAGCTGACTCGAACGACTAATATTTAGCCAATCTAATTTTCTGTGCGTCCTGAGGTTTCCCATCCCGCCGCTACTTGCACCCCCTTCCCTCTCCTCGTTCGTGAGCTCGTTAAGTGCCTGTGTCAGACGACATAGATTACTGGGGTGAATCTCTACAGAAAGGAGGCAATGGTAAACATCTCCTTCCTAGTCTGGTAAGTTCGGAGGCTTTAAATTTATCGCAATCGGTCATATGGCACCCTCCCCTCCCTCTTCCCACCCCTCCTCACTGCTCTCCCCACCCTCCTCTCCCTGTTCTCCCCACCCTCCTCTCCCCTGTTCTGCCCACCCTCCTTTCCCTGTTCTCCCCACCCTCCTCTCCCTGCTCTACCCACCCAACTTTTTCTTAACTCATGTTCAAGAAAGCTATGTCATCCATAAAGGAGAATCCCTTGATAAGATATTGAGAGATACGAGGTTAATACACGAGTATCTCGGGTTTTGTCTCTTGGCACTATTGTTACAGCTTGTTCGACTGTCTGGTTTACTTAAACAACCTCGTTTACAGGGTATCTTCCTCTCCCAAGGGGAGAATAGATGGTTGCGAAGAGGAGAGACCGTAGGTATATGAGGAAAGAGTTGATCAGTAAAACTAGAGAAACCTTACATTTATCTGAACCAAGAGAATGTAAACTATTCTCTTGCCCGAATTTGGAACACGTGTACTGACCTGGAGAGCTGTGCAGTAAGTATTTCTTTTTTTACCTCGTCCTTGCCCAGCCTTAGCATCCATGAATACCTGTTTGAATTCATTGTTGCATTTTTTGATGTTGTCGTACTCACACTGTTTTCCCGTGTCTTCAAGGGGCAGGTCACCGACACAGCTAGAAATTAAGAAGCAGAACACTCCGGTGCAGAGGAGCAGGGTTGGTGATGTCATAGCGAGTTAAAGTCGATGAAGGCCTCTAGAATTATAGCGGAAGAAGAAAACGTATTGTTAGAAAATATCATTGGGGATGGAGACCACAACAAATTAAGCTCATGGTGACACATTACCATCACCATCTCAATTCTGATTGACTTATTCCAGCCGGCACTGCGCACTGTCAATCATCCCAAGGCCATATCCAAAGACAATCGTTTTTATCATCCCACACAGTAATGACGTTCATCCTTTACATTTTCTTGGCTTTGGTTGACAGGATAGCTTACGGAACAGCCATCTTTTGTGTGTGTATGTCTTCAGGCGAGCGAGGGCACTCACGAGGCAGGGAACGCGCGAGGGGCGAGTCACGTGCGCGAATGCCGCAACGCTTCTCCACTTGCTCCTCACTCATCCCGCGCTTTCCTCGCATTCATATCAAATGTACCCCCTCGCTTGAAAACACGCCTATGAAAAGATAAAATAAAACACCTCTTTCGGCGACTTATAAAACGACCCTTTGCTTGAATGATTTTCTTTAAGATGCTCAACATCATTCGATCATTCTTACTTCGTTCAACCATTACGGTTTCCAAAACTTGTAAATTCATTGAATCTAGCTTCCTCGACGTGTTTTCCTGGCGTACAAGTCCGCTTTAATATTTTATTTAATTTACAATAGCAAAGCTTACCACTCGACCAACTGGAACCCAGACTTAACCCTTTCCTTCCCCCTTCCCCCTGGCATAAGGAAACACTTTTAAAAAATGTTACAAAAACACAGTAGATTTGACTGATTTGTTTTCTCCGTCGAGATCTGTTCTGGTGTTCGGTCCAGATATAAGTTTATTTTCGTAACTACCTTTCACAATTTGTAATGAAATAAGTTTCATTTGACCTGCGGATTAAATATCAAGTAAATAGCGCAACGATCCTCACAGGTGAGCAGCAATTTTAGCAATTGCAGAAAAGAAGTCTGAAAAATTCAGGCTATAACTCGTAACCAGATACAAATTGAGTGCGGCTAGGTACCAACTGAGCTACGAAGCCAGAGTTGCCTTAAGAGCAAGAGAAGACTAATTCAAAGAGACCCGATTACTCTTGGCAAACCCAATAAAGCCACAATAATACTTACAGTTATTTCCACTCTGCGTTGCGGCAAATATAGAAACCTCAACACTGTGATTAAAACTGTTTCATTTTATAGTTCACCAAGGCAATTATTAGGAATAAAGGGGTGACAAGAGTATCCGCATCTATTGTCTGAGTCAAGAGAAAACAGAATGAACACAATATAAATTCTTTGTGCTTGCGGGCGGATATCATTCCTTCTTCAATCCAGTCTAAAGTTGTGTTTCAATTTGTGATTTCTATTCAGTACGTATTTGACGGGAATGTCGATTCAATATTCCTTTTCTAATTAAACTAACTAATGCAGGTTTTAATGAGAAGATTAGGAACCAGGTTAGAAGAACAAATGTAACTACAAAAAAAATCATGTAAATAGATCCCCCAAAAATTCCAATAACTTTTGTCAGAGAGAAGGAAGAGTACATTGTTTCCATCTCAACCGACCTGACTTCTTTCTTGCACGCAACTAATCTAAGTGGAAGTTTGGGTCTAGGTCTGACGCGATTTTGTTTCACAGATATTTTCTCGTTCGTTTATCGTTCGATATTTTGTTTGATCTGATTGCTTCTTTCAGCAAGTTTGTTATTGAATTACTAATGATTTAATCTAGAATAAAACCTCGAAATAAAAATTATCAGAGATCGAACTAAATAAATGTGATCTTTACAACGAAAATTGACTTCATCGGGGATATCTTCATTAATTGTTTTATTAAATTCTGTGACCATGCCAGACTACAGTGCTCAGGTGATAATGGTTAACTTTCAAATGAAGCATTTCAAACTGGGACACACACATCAAATGTGACAATGCTTGTGTCTGATCGTTCACAATTGAACACTAAGGAGACTCGATTAAAGATTTTTCCTTCCTATATTTTATCCCCCTTACTATACGGACAATTACCAATAAGAACTTACAACACTTCAATTAACAAATCTAATATCAAGATCCTCCTGTTAGACATTCAATTAGATGCCTCTTAATTTTCCTGAACACTTCCCAAAGTTAAATGACTCGTATTTGGATCAGGGTTACAAAACATCTGCAATCTTTAAGATGGGGTCTTTCCTAAGATCAAAAGCTACTAGTTTAAGACTTGAATAATCTCTAAAGGGCGATTTAGGTCAATTTAAGAACTTACATGCTCTTATACGAATAGCATAAGTCTTCGCACGCTAACCATATTTCGATTTTGTTGTCGTTTTTTTTTCTTTAAATCAGTTGTATTTATCTTCCAAGTTATGTTTCCTATAATTGGCAGCTGGTTCCTGGTTTCACACAACAGTGGTTGAAGGAAGGGAAAGCGTTCGTTAGGAAAATTTCAGATGAGTTAAATACTCTGTCTGCGACCTATGAAGGGTTGGCGGGTTACTATTGTTGCCGCTCAATATGGTTTCATGATTGTCCGTTTCAAATATTGAGAGGATTACACAAGTGCTATGGAGTCCATATTGCTGCAGCGATTACCTTTTTGAATAAAAAAATGTTATCACGAATTTGTCAGAACACAAAGAACACGGAGGTGGAGTCTCAAAAATTAACGTTCGACAGAGTTTCATTTGTGGTGGCTCAACATTACCTTTGAAAGGTATTCATTAATTGACAGACCGGACCGCAAACTAGTTAGCGCAGGAATCTGAATCGAAGGCCTCGGTTAAAGCCTTGGCCGCATCAGTGCGCGTTTGTTTTTGAGCAAGCCACTGAACTATCACACTTCCTCGCTCTTTAAGAGTATTCAATATCCGTATCAGGGAAAGTTCCCTAGTCTCCCTGTGTACTAATGCTTTCAAAGCATAATTCAGTGTAGTTCTTTTACTTTTACTCTTTAGATTTTAATTTTACCCTGCATTTATCTCGCCTGTGCACTTGGAGTAACATTATCAATCTTAATCAGTCTCTGTTCACGCTAACTGGTCAACTTTACAGGTATTCTTGAGATTAATCAACCATTCAAATAAAAGAAGAAAAGAACAAACTATTTTATTTAGAATTCTCGTACAAAGATGGAGGAAGTTGCATACAATATATCGAATTAATTACAATAAAACAAAGGATTTTTAACATATACTGTATCTCCAGGACTAAGACTGTATATTTAACAGTTGGTAGGATTTGTGAGTAAATGTCTCTGGATGAGCCACAACCGTGAAAGAAAGGTTCACTTCATTTCCGTAGAGCTTCTATCACTGAGCAAAAAACACACGCGACATAACTCCTCTAGAGTCGTGAAGACTCGAGACGCTGCTTTAGAGAAGTTGTTGATATGATAGAAAACTTGGAACTAAAAAGTTTCTCACGACAAACTGCACGGAAAGGTTTAGTGGCTGCATAAGAAGTTAGAGGAAAAATTAACAGTTTTCCATTTTCAACTAAACAGCTCCTGAAAACAAAGGTAACACGGAACTTCGCTACTTTTCAAGCTACGCTTTTGTTTAAACAGTATCGTCTCGGTTGATAGCCTGTTGCGCTTTGATTCAACAATTAAATATTGAATCAACTTTTTATACACTTAACTGCCTGCAGTATCAATTCTCAGCGGCTATCTCCTGAATATAATTCGGGATCAGTTGACGTAATTCCTCCAGGGTACAGTCCTCGGGCATCGGGAGTTTGGTTAAGTGAGGAACTAGTACATGTGTCGGCAAAAGGGCCTCTCCTTCATCGGTGAGGTCCGTCTGAGTGAGAATAAAGAGGAAAAGCGAGCTGTTAAAATTTTTGACTCCTTTATAGCTTAAAGTCTGGTCCTTTGTTTCCAGTCAGACAGTAGCAGGAAAGAGTACTTCTGAAAACGTTTCGCACTTTTCTACTTCCCTAAACAGTCAATAATTACAAGGCATTTTAAAAGAATTCCAACGACCACGACTGCAATAGTTATACCGTCAAAAGGTGGAAATTTTTAGAACACCGAGTAATATTTTAACGGCGAGCGGAGAACATTCATAGCACTAGCAAACAAATAGGTAAAAAAAAAAAAATGGGTCAGAAAAAACCAAGTGTTTGCTCACCAGTTCCTTCATGACAATCTTCAAGAAATTAGCGCACATCTTAGCCATGTCGTACTGACACAACCTGAAATAAAGAACGAACATGACATCACAAGAAGAACCAGCCCCAAACGAAACGCGATATATCAAAAGCTCAAACTGCTCTTGCACCCAAATAACCGCCAGAACTTGTTCAAATTTCTTCTCCCTGACAGTTTGCCGGTGCCCGTTTATACTATGCAAACAACAAAGTGACCCAGCTAAGAATTGGACCCAACCCTTCCCAACCCAGCTAAGACTTGGACCCAACCCTTCCCAACCCAGCTAAGTCTTGGACCCAACTCTTCCCAACCGGGTTCGTCAGCTGGACACGGAGTTTCTCATTTGGACAAAAGGCCTAAGTACTAACAACAACTTTGTTAACAAGACCATACATTAGCGGCGGGACAAAAGTCGTATCAACAGGTGAACTATATAAGGCCGCGTGCGTCTTGAAAAAACCATATGGTTTTCACTCTGAATACCTAACTTTGTACTTACATGTCTTTGGGTGTGTCGGAAGATAAACTGTTGATTCTCGTACAGAGAGACACGACTTCGGCATAGATGCCTTCCCAGTCATACTTAGTTGGCACAAAGTTCTCCTGAAGATGACAACAAATAGTTATTTCAACTCTGCGTTAAAAGTAATTCGCTTAAAATACTGGATTCTTCCAATTCACTCAGGAATTCTAAAGAAAGCTGTGGTTCCTATATTCCACGTAATCATTTTCACCCGTGCAGTATTAGGTTTTTGTACAAAACAAATCACTCAGTGCCAAAAACTAACCTACATTAATAAATTTTTACCTGTGAAATGTCTTGGAACTTCTCCATCAGAGAGAGATAATCCAGAAACACCTAAACAATAAAATTAAGTCAAAGTTTTTAACTGCCTAAATACTTATCCTCAGAGGACGATTTGCGACCATTCTATTCATTTTCATTTCTATTCCTTGGCCAAAAAAGTTTCTAAAAGTGCATATTTCACATACAATGCTAATATTGAGCGTGTAAAGATGAAAATAAACAATTTTTAAAAATCGAGTTTCATCTGGAAACTCGATTTTTAAAAATGCTAATATTTGCTTATATTTGTGAAAGCATCACAATAGTTGAAAGCACTAGTGCCAGTGAAGGACTGTCTCTTACTCAGCCGGTTCCACGCCCTTAGTCAGTAGAGAGGAGCGTAAGAGCGGACGAGAAACAAATATCAGCTATCGTTGGACTGATCCTGTCACCATTCGCACGCCAGCTTTTTCGCTCGTTCCCACTACCTGACTGGTCGGCACATACTGTCCATCAATTTATGATTTCAGAGCCGGGTGAAAAGAATTGACTGCGGTTATGAATTGAGTGAGCTCCTCTCTGGTAGAGGAGGTGCGCCGATACAGTCGTCGATGTAGCGACCGTAGAGTTCAGGTTTGAGCCGTAGTATTGGCTGATGTTCGACAAAACCTACAAAAAGATTGGCATAGCTAGGTCCCATTTTGGTGCCCATGGCTACACCATTGGTAGAAGTAGACACCTATATTTATACAGGATAGCCCCTTCAGTGTAGTAAACACTGGTATCAACGGGGTCCTGGTATCAACGGGGTCCTGTTACCCACCCATCCCACCCCAGGGGAGGACAGCCATCACACAGTAATCTCGTGCGTGGGAAATTAACGTCTCCTGTCCCTAACCCTGCAGGAGACGGGACCTCCATTTATTCGTCCCTATCCGAGAAGACTAGAATATCTAATCATTTCTTGATGTTATAGAAAGGTAGCATATTCTTCTCAATTATTTTAAGACCCTGAGTGTTGGTCCGGCCGGGGCTCGAACCCTCGACCTCCCGCACAACAGTCCAGCGCTCTATCCATTGAGCTAACCGGGAGGCGGTTA